GGGACCCCAACACTGCCACTGCCACCCGCTCCGCCCACAGCCTGCCTCAGTTTCCCCTCGGGATGGGCCAGCACTGGGATGGGATGGGATGGGCTGGGACTGGGATAAACTGGGACTGGGATGGGCTGATAATGGGATAGGCTGGGACTGGGATGGGCTGGCACTGGGATGGATTGGCACTGGGATGGACTGGCATTGGGATAAACTGGCACTGGGATAAACTGGTATTGGGATAAACTGGCACTGGGATGGACTGGTACTGGGATGGATTGGCACTGGGATGCTCCGTTACTGGGATGGACTGGGACTGGGATAGGCTGGCACTGGGATGGAGCAGCACTGGGATGGACTGGGATGGACTGGGATGGAGCAGCACTGGGCTGTTCCATCACTCACATCTCTGGCACCAAGATGTTCCCACACCAGGGTGATCCCACACTGGGATGTCCCACACTGGGATGCTCCATACTGGGATGGCTCCACACTGGGATATTCTATACTGGGATGCTCCATACTGGGATGTTCCATACTGGGATGCTCCATAGTGGGACATTCCAAACTGGGATGCTCCATACTGGGATGTCCCACACTGGGATATTCCATACTGGGATATTCCAAACTGGGATGCTCCAGCCCTGTTCTGGTCCAGCACTGGGATGCTCCACACTGGGCTGTCCCACACTGGGATGTCCCACACTGGGATGCTCCATATTGGGATGATCCCATACTGGGATGCTCCATACTGGGATGCTCCACACTGGGATGCTCTGACACTGGGACGCTTTGGGACCAGGATGCTCCGATCCCAGAATGTTCCATCACGGGGATGCTCCGATACTGGGATGATCCCACAGCTGGAGATCCCACAGTAGATCCCACAGCAGAGGATCCCAGAGCAGGACGAACCCACAACAGGAGATCCCACAGGAGAGGATCCCACAGCAGGATGATCCCAGAGCAGGAGATCCCACAGCAGGAGATCCCACAGTAGATCCCACAGCAGAGGATTCCACAGCAGGACATCCCACAATGGGATGATCCCATAGCAGGAGATCCCACAGCAGATGATTCCACAGCAGGAGATCCCACAGCAGGATGATCCCACAGAAGAGGATCCCACAACGGGATGATCCCACAGTAGATCCCACAGCAGAAGATCCCAGAGCAGGACAATCCTACAACAGGAGATCCCACAGGAGAGGATCCCACAATGGGATGATCCCACAGCAGGAGATCCCACAGCAGGACGCTCCATCCCTGGGATGGTCCCACACCAGGATGCTCCAATCCGGAATGTTCCACCCTGGGGATGCCCAGAGGGATCCAGGACCAGAATTTTCCAACACCAGAACGTTCCACCAGATCCTCCAACATTGGAATGATC